TTGCATCTTCTCAGTATTGAAGTTGCTCTGAAGATATTTTAAGTTATTTAAAAAGTGCAATTACACTCAGCCATTAAATATGATGATTGTGATGACAAAATTCTACCATATTATCATGGCGTGGCCCGGGGCTTGGAATTAACCAAAGTGAGAACAGACGGTCGGATGATAACTTAAATTTTCTATATTCATTTACAATTTAAAAAGTGAAAAAGTCGTTAATTAAATTAAACTAATATATTTAAATTTACCTAATTACTGATTGTCTGCGTCTTCTATAAACATTTCATTTCTATCGCTCTTATTTTAATCAATTAATTAGCCTGAAAAGTTAATTTAAAATAACAATGAGCTAAACAAACCAGTGAATACTCACATCCCTAAACTACAAAGGAAAAAAAAATATACATATCAGCTAAGGTTTCAATAAATCAATATAAACATTAGAGATATTATTCAATGAAACATACTATATGAATAGTATATCAATATCATTCTATATCACCATCTAAAAATTGTGTCACTTAAGTTACTTTAATATCAATATGTTTTTTCATTTACGTGCACAGGTACCTTAGTGTCTCTCTACTAGTACTAGCAAAGAGTGACTCCATCATGGTGAATCATGCACATACAAGCATCCAACTAAAAATTAATTTTTTAATAATAAATATTTATTTCTCATTTGCACAGTAGCCAACATACTTATAAATCATTCCATATTTATGATAATTTAAATAATCTTATGCACACATCATTCCTACAATATGAACAAAAATTCACTAGAATTCAAAATCTTGAGTTTGCAGTAATTTCAATATAACTAATGATATGCTAGTAAATGCATTTGATATAGAAGAAACAAAATATTATCATAACATAAGAATATAAGTACTCACCTCGATGTCAATTAATTTGTTATTTGGTTTTCCTTAACATCAACTCTTCTAAACTAGAAACCTAGCATAAACATAATATTTATATCACTAAACTTTAAATAGATTTGTATTTTAATTAGTTATTAACTTTACATTATGTAAATTTTCATATTTTACTTTATGTAAGTATGCATAATTTTCTATTGAATATATATATATATATATATATATATATATATATATATATACATGTATATGTATATGTACATGTATATGTATATGTACATGTATATGTATATGTACATGTCTATGTGTGTGTACATGTATGTATATGTATATGTATATATTAGTTTTATTATTAAATCAATTAAATAACCGTTACCTTATTTTGTCGAGCCTTAAACCAAAAGAACCCTTCTGCCCTCTCCGCACGAGGGCTCCCTTTTTCACCTTTGATTGGCTCCCTCCCGCACGAGAAGTCTACGCCTCCTACTTCCTCCATATGGCAAAAGGGCATGCAAGCCCTCAGTGCATTAAAGAGCTCTGGCTCGGCTCTTCCCACATGAGCTTCCTTGTCGTCGGCTAGGTAAAAAAAATTTAACTTAGGCTCGAAGTCTCCCGCACTGTTTGACTCTCAGGTGAGTAAACCTCACCTCAGCCGCATCATTTTATAGGCGAACTCGTCTCCTTGGCTTCTAATCCCCTAGTTTCCTCTCCTCCTTTTCGGTTGTCCCCGACTCACCGTTTCTTCTTTGGATTCTCTCGAGTCTTCAATTCCTCTCCTTTTGGTAACTGAAACAAGAACGTTACACATATGATGCACATATTTGAATAATGGTACTTGATTTGGTCTCCAAAGAAAGGGAGAGTACCTGCATATGATGATTTGAGGTGAGATTTATTGCTATGAAAACTAGTTCAGACTCGACCTTTGTTTTCCTTTGTGCAAGAGTTGGTTATGGAGTCATCAAACTCAAACTCTGCCGAACTCGTGAAATTTGATTTCATTATCATCCACCAACACAAAAAAAAAGGATTTAGTGGAGCCTTACCATCTTCCAGTATCTATTCACCATCAAGGGTTTCAAAGATTGTTGTGGGCTCTTCTCAACCAATTATATCAAAATGCCCAACCTTGAAAATAAATTTGAGAATTGAATAGGTATTTCTTAGTGAAATGCTTCAAATAGCGACTGATTAAAACTAGGCATGTGATTTTTCTAAACAAGAACTTACAACATCCTTACTTAAAGGATGACGAGCACATACATTTTCTACGGATGAAAAGGATAGGAGCTCAACATGAATCCTTACTTGGATTCTAGAATGAGCAAAAAAAGTATTTATTTCTTGAGTATATATCTAATTCAGACTATTCTTTATTTTCTTACATTTAGTCAAATTTTAATTTAGTAACTTTATTGTATGGTTGAACACCCTAATATTGTTCACATCTTAGAAAAAGATGGCAAGAAAAAGAAGGCTCAAAAGAATAGGCCAGCAACTGTGTTCAAAGATTACAAGGAACCAAAATTGCATATGAAATATAAAGTGTAAAGTAAGAAATAACATATTACTATTCTAACTTATTAGAATATTAAAAAATAATATCATACATTGAACTAAGTAAAAAAGTAATAAAATGCATAAAGTTAAGAGTAACACCTTAATTATCCTAAAATCAAATTATGAAATAAGATGGCTTATGCAAATATTAAACTCTAAAAATAAGCTAAAATATTAAAATATCAAAACATAAAATAATAAAATACATAAAGTTAAGAGTAACACCTTAATTATCCTAAAATCAAATTATGAAATAAGATGGCTTATGCAAATATTAAACTCTAAAAATAAGCTAAAATATTAAAATATCAAAACATAAAAATTAAATATGTTCAATATAAGTCTTTTTCTCTCACCCATAATACCCCCACTTAACAAGAATATAACATTATCAACTTTTTAATTTTAAAATTTAAAAGTACCTGTTACAGTAATCACCCTATTTATTTTTATTAGAATCATTGAAATAAAGAATTGGTTATCTCATGTCTTATCCTTAGTCGTGCTTATATTCTCTCATTCTTAATTATCTTTAATCCCAATAATCTTCTACTTTTTAATGAATAAATACCAATAAAAATATTAATATAAAACATAAATTAGTTAATAATTAGAACTTCAACTACAAAAATTTTTATGGATAAGTTTTCTTTTTATTTAGTGTGTGAGATGTAAAGGTTAATAAGCGAGCTATATCGATATTTTAGAATATTATGTACATATTCAAAAATTTAAGGTATGTTTTAAGGCGAGACATGTCTTAAGACGAGCCTCAACCACCCAAGAACAACGAAGCTTACACCTTATTGCAGTTTTTTTTGTAAAAAAATGCTTGCGCGAGCCTTAAAGTGTGCCTCAAATTATGCAATTTTAAGCTTAGCATCCATTCAAGAGAACTTATGTCAAAAGTTCCCATGTAGGGTTTATACATGATAAGTGGGTTATTGGGTTCACTCCAACACCGGATATTGATAAAATATACTTAGCATAGAAATACTAAACAATTAGCCATCACTAATGGCTTAAGGTTTTGTACTAATAATTTATTTGCCCGCTATTCTATGTTGTCCAAATTTAATCCCCATTGGTTAACCTTAAATATCGAGTATCATAATTGGAGATGTATAAAGAACTCAATCCAACATGCAATGAAAAATAGGAGAGGTTGTCACTCAACTAGCTCAATATTAGAAAAAGAGCTCAATTGATGATGGGATACACCCAAGGAGAATGTTGCGTAAACTAAAGCTATCATGATCAATTCAATCGTACTAAATGGGCTTTGATACTACTTTGTTATAGTAATAGAGATCATTTAAGGAACCAACATTACCAATTTATTTGTTGTCACACTATTCAACCAAGAATTAATGTCATGGAAGAAGAACAACCCTTGAGACATAAATATTAATACCCACTTTATAATTATTCAAGGATATTTGATTTAAATTTGTCTATGGGAGAACACCCGAAGCTTAATTGGAATAATTTCATGAAATTAGTTAGAAAAAGGCGGGTATAAGGAGTGATTGAGAGACTAATAATGCTTATCTTATTTATCGATGGATAGAGGATTCAAGTACCAATGATTAGGTGATTGCCTTCCCTCTAACCCTTCATTTTATAGGCCTAGACCCATGATTCCGCATTACAAAAGAAATATGATAAATCTTAATTGTTTTTTATTATTTAACTACATGAGGTGCTAGTCAATGTTATAAAGAAATATGCCTTAAATTCTCTGGTGCATTCGTAGATTATAGCTAATTTTTTGCCTCGATTATCTAGAATCAAGACCTGAATAATGTGTCGCCTAATCTAGAGATAGTTAACACCTTTCCCAGGGAAGTTTGTGAGGTAGTTGCTAGCGAGTTGAGTTTTAAACAAGTGGTCAAACTCCTTGGGCTGAGTAGACTTTGATGGACTCTTTCTAGTTCTAGTGGGTCAGTGAGTTGACAAGTTCACGTCCTTCAGTGAGTTGGTGACCTTTGGCGAGTTCATGGTTTTGATGAGTTTAATACTTAACAAGCTAAATTGATTTGAATTCAGGCCAAAACAATATGTGGGTGTACATATATGACTAAACTTAAACACTCTCAGATGCTTACATCCATAAACATAAACCTACATAGCCGAAAATTCTTGGAGAATGTAATCATCAAAAAAGAATTGGATAAATGTCATCCCTTATATTTTCCTAAAAGAAAGTTTAGCATGCACATATTTGAATGAACAAATATGAACAAAGATTATTCGTTGGGTTTTATCTCCACTTCAGCGCATTTATTGGTCCACATAAGATATAAGCAAGATAAAATTGCTTTTTAGAATTTTTACTTTCAAGTGTGCATTTCTCTAGGGAACGATGCATTAGTCGTTGGGTTTTATCTATACTATATATATTGACCAAGAAGCATATGGAAGACCCAAACAAATTATTTACAAAAAAACTAATGAAACTATGAAGTGATAATTATTTTTTAAAATAATTCACCAATAAATAAAGAAAACATCTTCATCACTGATATGCAAGAAAAAGATGATCAAGGAAAATACCTCTGCAAGATTCTTCCATGTAATCATGCCAATAGCAGTTGAAAGGAACTGACACAGAATAGCAATGCAATTGAAAATAAGCACCAACAACACAAGTTCAAATCCAAAACGGGCACCTCCCTCAACAGCAGCCAGCCATTTTCCAAGGTCAATATATGTCATAGATACTAAGATTGCAGGTCCAAGAGATGGAAAAATATGATTTGTCACACCTCCAAAACCTCCACTAGCCATGACTGATTCTGAAATCAAATTTATTATTTGGCAACAAACAAGCAGAAGATATTCACAGCACTGTTTTGTTCAACGGAGTTTATTTCACAGAAACTGAAAAATTTTCTGACATTTTTGTATCTCTGCTTGCTTTAAACTCCAGAATACATTGCAGATCACCCTGAAAACTGTAAGGCTTTTCATTTCCACGGAAGCAAATTATTCACAGGTAGGTTCTTTGGATAAATGTCCCTTTGCAAACAGTTCTATGATCAAAGTTTCCATAAGCTAATCCAAATGATATGAACAGCAAAAGGCAAAGTAATTAGGTGTATTTGGACCTAACCAATTCTGATTTCCATGCCATGAAACGTTCCACACATTATGGTATGGTGTTTAGTGAGGAAGACCATAATTCAGCTCCAAGGAAAACGCTGGAATCCAGTAAAGTTATGCATTGAAAAGCCATTTGTTAAACAGAATACTACATAGCTCCATAACATTTCAACCCCAATAACGGGATCTCCAGAATCCGTAAATCCAACCCCCTATTTATCCAGAACTTGGGAAATGCCAGAACATTCTGCAACCAAAAAAGAAAAATCAAGCAGTTTTTGGGCAGGTCCAAGTGGCAAAAATGTGACAAGAAGAAGAAAGCAACACAAAAGGGAGAAAAGGATAAAAAAAACTTGAAAAAGATGATCATTAAAAATTTAAACGTTTCGCTTTAGATATAATACAGTTTACTTCCAACCTCAAGCAAAAAAACGAATCTGCTTAAACAAGTCAAAATAAAGAATCGCCGCGAGAAACCTAGGAGAAGAAGGAAACCACCACAGCTTATCCAATGTTCCACAAATCAGCATCAATTCCACACCCAGAAAGCAAAAAAACACAGCGCAAGCGTCATTTCTCAGCACCCACCAGCAAGAAAACCACAATAAAAGCACCGAAATAGAAATACAACACAGGATCCATGACCTGAGCTGCCGCAGCTAATCTGAGGCAGCTCGGTCAACCCGAAACCCTTTCAATCGTCTCTAAACTAGATTTGAAAACAACAACTAGCGAGCTGAGCTACTAAATATCCTCAGCTAGGGGATCACAGTACAATACCTCCTAGAAGCTAGGAAAGTGGAATATTAGAGTACATCAGTCCGAAATCCTCGCGACGGAACAGAACCTACGAAAGTGGAAGATCGAAACTGTAAGGACACAGGAACAAAGAGAGAAGAAACAGAAAGAGATTGCCGGAAAGGCGACGGCGCAGCCTTGCGCGGAATCATCCACTGACCTTCCTCCTGAAAAGGATGAGAGGGAGAGAGAAAGGGAACAGGAGCCGAACGAAAGAGCACAGTGATGCTTCCGGCCTCTTCTTTTTCCATAGTTATAATTTTTTTTTCTTAAGAATATCCTGATTTTTATTTTCTTTCCAGGAAGATCCTGAAAATTTACCCCAACGTTCCGTCTCTCTCTCTTTTAGTGGCTACCGGTTAAGTTTGAGTACCAGTTTTAACACGAACACGCAACGCGACGATATTGGAGGGAGGTGGACGCTAAATAAGCATCTCTCGCGCATTTGAGGGGGGGCCAAAATGGAAGGGGCGACATTAAGCCACGTGTCATGTATAGGGTGGTCAAATGCACTTGCGGCGCGGCCAGCACTAGCGGTAATCAGAGACATTGTACTTTAATTTTTCCTTTTTTAAAAAAATTACAACTCAAATATATGAAAATATAAACGGATAAAAAATAGGAGCATAAAATAATAAAATTAAACGAACCTAAAAAAATATATAAACTATCAACTATAAAAATTAGAATAGATAAAACAATAAGAAATCTCTTGAGAAAAGAATCAACAATATATCCAAACAACAAAAAAAGATCAATGAAGACAGCCTAACAGATCTGAAGGGCCTACAAATAGCATCCAAAGTCGGCAGAAAATAGCGACCAGCACTTACCAGGAAGTAGAGTTTGATGGCATATTGGTGGGACAAAATCCAATAGGAGAAGATGAACAGCTAATTGGAAGCAGCAAGAATGTGAATCAATTTGTAAAAATCATCAGCACATCCGATCGAAGCTATAGAAGCACTCCAGGATAGGCCAAATCACACCAACTTCTAAATAGCAAGCCAAAACAGAACCGTAATGAAAACTAAAATTAGGAAACAAAAAAGGAAAGTACCATTAATATCACAAAAAAAAAACAAGATCTCAATCCAACATTAGCATAAGGATAAGAACCAAGACACTAATTTCACATTAAAAATTCAATCAAGAATTACGAATTTTTAAAATCAAAATATTCTGAATATTGAAAAAACTTATATAATTTTAATTAATGCACTAAAAAATATGCTCAAAAACTTACATGAAAGAAAAATATTAAGATTTCTTCTAAATATAATGAATATTTAAAATCAAAAAATCACAAGTATTTAAAATACGATTGAATTTTAATAAATGGGTGAAAAACATCATAGTTCATGAACAACACTCAAAATCAGCCAAGAACGATCACCAATAGATAATAAGAAGAAGAGACCGACAACAAATTAGAGGGACAACATCCAACATCAAGAACGCAATCTAATAAACATAAATAAATAACGCGTCCAACTGAAGCTGTAGAAAGTCTCCATGAAATGTTGGATCACACGAACCATAAAAGAAATAACCAAAGCAGAACCACAGAGAAGACAAGTAGAAGGAAACACAAAGAAAAGTACAAATAATATCAGAAATAAACAAGATCGCAATCCAACCTTCAAGGAGTATAAGCATCAAGACAATAAAAAGACATTAAATTTTCAATCAGAAATTATGAATATTTAAAATTAAAATATTTTGAATATTCAGAAAGCAGATTGAATCTTAATAAAAGTAAGAAACCATTAATGTAAGGTCCTCAAAAATAAGATAAAAACTTACCTGAAAGCAAAACAATAAAATTCCTTCAAAGTATAATGAATATCTAAAATAAAAAATACCATAAACACTCAAAATGAAGTTTGATTTTAATAAATTATTAGAAAACATCACGGTTCAACCTAAACATAACTAAAAGCAAAATTGTTCTTAACAAAAGGTGAAAGACAAAATTTAAGAAAAATGGATCATCAAATAAATGACAAATTATAATCTAAAAAAAACACAACAATAAAAAAAAGAAATACAGACATAGTCATCAACAAAAGCCCAAGAAGCAGCAAGGAGGATACCATCTCCAAAACAATAAGAAAAGCAATAAAAACAACAACACAACCTGTAGAAACAGTAGACGAGAGAAAACCAAAGACAATATAACTATTTGAAATACCATGAAAGCCAAACAGATAGCAAATAAAAGGAGACAGCCAAGATCCCGAGTTAAAAATAAAATAATGAAAACTTTTATGCAAAAATAAATTACAGAAACTTACCTGTAACAAAAATATTAAAATTCCATCCATGAAAAGTGAATATCTAAAATCAAACAAATTATAAATATTCAAAAATATGGTTGAATTTGAATATAAGGCTGAAAAATAACGAAACTCAACCCAAACACAATATAGCAACAAATAAGAAAAAATAGTTCATAATAGAGAAACAAACATGTTAATAATTCAAAATAAGCAAAAACAAATTAATGTAAACAACATAGAGAACCAAAATAATCAAAGCAAACAACAAAATTCAAATTATATAAAGATCTCTAATATGTGAAGGAATATCTTTTTTAAACTTCCAACTTCTCCTTGTTAACTTCATAATCATATGAATATTAAAAATCATACTACTGATAGAAGAAAAAAAAATTAAAGATTTTTTTATTCCACTCCCTTCATATAAAATAAGCAGCGTCATGAGCAACCAACAAGTAAAATCTCTTAATAATCTTAGATGAAAAATAATCCAATTTAGAGAGAATATATAGCATATTAGCACTTCAAAAGATGGAAATTCCTATATGGAATACTTCTTTTTAATAAAGAATGGCAAAATAACATTCAAAGAAAATATGGTTATGAGTTTTATTATGATTCAAACATAAGACATAAGAATTATTAATCATATTATCTCTGGCAATCATCACTAGTTTTGAGACCATTATGTAAAATTCTTTAAGTAATAGTAGCACAGCTAATAGAAAAAACTTTAAAACATACATATTTATTCCAACCAATACTATAATAGCTATTAAAATTAAATGAATTTATGAGTATACTTATCATGACCATTCTAAATACAAGAAGTAAAACCAATTTTATAGGAATATTAAGAATAATGTTCAAACAAAAATCAAGAATATTACAAGAATTGGAAGAATTCCATTTATTATTAAAGCTAAATTAACCCACTTTAATAGAAGAATGATGATTAAAATAAACGGAAAAAAAATTACCTGACTTCTCAAAAGGTGTTATTTGAATCATTAACTTCTAATCATTCCCCAATCACTATTTATTTTTGTATTCTGAAAATTTAATTTGTAGGTTTATGTATAAAAATTATTTGAGTTGTTGTCAGAATTTTACTTCTATTGTAAATTTTACATATTAGAAGGAAAATTTTCATCCAAAAATCATTACAAGCAGTTTATAAGAAAAACTTATTGTAGAAACATCTTCTTGTTGATTAAACCAAATAAAAATGACCATTATAAGGAAGGTCAATAAGATTAGAGTTAAAAATGAAGTTGTTAAAGTAAAAAATTTTACTGAGAATAGGAGGCGAACCACCACTTTTCTCCTTAAGTCTTTTAATGCAATTAAAATCTCTCAAAACATTCCAAGGTTAATGAATATTTTCCACCAAAGAAGATAAGGAACATCATAAATCTTTTGTACAAATAGCATTATTATCAACATAGACACAAATAATAATAAAATAAACAATCAAAGAGAAGGAAATAATTCCTTGAATAAAATGAGCATGAATATCCAAACACTATAGTTGATAGTGGAAAAAAATTCATTTAATCTAATTCTACTAGAATCAACCATATAAAAATTGTTATGCCTTAATCTTTAATAATGACTTAATCTTGCTTTTCATCAGTAATATGTCTGTACTCCCTTTTAGGCTCATATTACCCATCTCATTCTATTGAACCTTTCACATCATGGAATGGGTCCACCAAACATTTTTCAACATCGGTTTCCCAACCTCTCATTTAAATTATGATTAGTGTGCATATTTTAGGATCTTATTTGTCAGACCTCCTTGTATGTGTGGTTTTGACCT